GTGAGAGAGAGAGAGAGAGAGAGAGAGAGAGAGAGAGAGAGAGAGAATACCCCAACTCTTGAGTATCCAAATGATCAAACTGTTTTTCGTTCGTCCCCCTCCCCTTCCTTCCCCTACCCAGGTAACGGTAGAGGCTTATGATGACGGGACGCCGCCAAAGACAGCTTTGGCCTTCGTGTTCATTGACATCACCCGCTCGAAGACGATCCCTACCTGGTTACCTGGCCAACAGACCAGTGTCACGGTCAAGGAGGATATCAATATCGGGGTCCCATTCACCCAGCTCAGCGCAGAGGTAAGTCTTTACTCGATGGCTATGCCCTTGCCTCCTTTCACAGCAGCATGAAGGGTGCTATCAGCTATAATCCGGGATGGCACTTTTCCGCTTTTTTCCGGTATTTCCGGTATTTTGTCCGGATCCGCTATTCCGTTAGTGAGATCGAGATAGAATCTATAGTTCAAGTTGAAAAAAACAAACCCCCCCCCCCACACACACAACAACTTGCGCCAAATGTTCAAATAACGGAAGAACTATGTACGTCATCATCATCATCATCATTGCCTTTCTCAGCCTGCATCAGGGTATAGGCCACGGACAAACACCCTCCACTTTTCTCTATCCTGGCTAACCTCTTGATGTTATTCCATGTCTTCCCACTTTTCTGTACACCAATTGCTTATGTTTGTTTGTCATTTCTCTCTATGTACACCCTTTGGCCTTTGGGTTTCAAATTGATATTCATACGTTAGCAAGACCGTGGCGCGTGGATTTTCAGCTATTTTCAAAAAATGTTGAGTGTCACTCCTGTATAATGGAGAAAATCCGAACCCTTTGACATCAAAAGCGGTGTCGAGCAAAGATGTGCCCTAGCCCCGACTTTATTCGGCATTTTCTTCTCCATGCTGCTGAACTTTGCCTTCGGGCAATATACTGAAAAGAGAGGCGACAAAATCAAGTCTTCGGCCCGCCTTCCGCCTTCATCTGCAACAAGTGTGGCAGAGACTGTCATACTCGAATCGCACTTTTGAGCCCCTCCAGACAATGTTTTTGACATTGACAAAAAAAAAGAAGCTCACTCTCTTCTACCCCCTCACTCATGCTCCCAAATGCACAGTTACACACACACACACACACACACACA